AGCCAGGGCCGGGCGCTGAGGCATACGTCTGTAATCTTAGCACTTTGGGAGGCCAAGGCAGGCAGATCACTTGAGCTCAGGAGTTCAAGACCAGCCTGGGAAATGCGGAGAAGCCACGTCTCTGCAAAAATTAAGAATAATTTTTAAAATTGAAAAAAGGGCCGGACACAATGGCTCAGGCCTGTAATCCCAGCACTTTGGGAGGTGGAGGTGGGTGGATCACAAGGTCAGGAGTTCCTGACAACCCTGGCCAATATGATGAAACCCTATCTCTACTAAAAAATATTTAAAAATTAGCTGGGTGTGGCAGTGGACACCTGTAATCCCATCTACTCAGGAGACTGAAGCAGGAGTATCGCTTGAACCCAGGAGGCGGAGCTTGCAGTAAGCTGAGATTGTACCACTGCATTCCAACCTGGGCGACAGAGCGAGACTCTGTCTAAAAAATGAATAAATAAATCAATAAAATTAAAGGAAGACTCTAAACCAGTTTAAGGTATGCTCCTGGAACTGTTCAAGATCATCTGGGCATGTAGCATTGTTATCTTTTTCAGAGTAACATAGGAAAAAATGAAATTGACTGTTGGGCAAGTCAAAACCTTGTTTTCTTTGTGGTGTGTGGGTTTCTGGTTTGAGTTATCTTGCCTGTTCTTGCAGGAAGGAAATTCATGGAGGTTAGGGGTTTTATTGTCATTATTTTGTGAGCCTCCTAAGCTGTATTTTCATTTCGTCAACCAACAAATATGCACTGTGCTAGGTGCTATTCTGAGCACTGAAAATACCATGATGAGCAAGACTTGGAGGATCTCCATCCTTGCACAGCTTCTATTCTAGAACTATCCATAGATTGTTGCACTTTCTTCTCACCATTTACTTGATTGAGACAACTATAATTACTATGCCACTTTTAAAGAAGAACATTAAGGGGGAAAAAAGAATTCATCAATAAAGAATGAATGCTGCCCAGGCACAGTGGCTCATGCCTGTAAACCCAGTACTTTGGGAGGCCAAGGCAGGCAGATCACCTGAGGTCAGGAGTTCAAGACCAGCCTGGTCAACATGGTGAAACCCCATCTCTACTAAAAATACATAGCCAGGCATGGTGCCACACGCCTGTAATCTCAGCTACTCTAGAGGATGAGGGAGGAGAATTGCTCGAGCAGGGGAGACAGAGGTTGCAGTGAGCCAAGATGATGCCACTGCATTCCAGCCTGGCTGACAGAGATTCTGTGTCAAAAAAAAAAAAAAAAAAAAGAATGGATGCAAACTGAGTTTGCAGAAAACTCTGACTGAGCAGATTCAGGGCAGCACTGCTTCTATAATTCAATGGTAGTAGAAAGAAGAACCAAGCACTTATTTGTCATGGAGGATGTAGACAGGTGTATCCTTTTCAGAAAGGTTTTGCGATCCTTTTCAATGTTTTAAATTTATGTATCTTCTGACAAAGTAATGCCAATCTTATGAATTTATCCTACACAGTGTGCACAAACAAGGAAGGGCATGTGTACAAAGACATAAAACCTAGGTGTGGTGATGCATGCCTATAGTCCCAGCTACTCAAGAGGCTGAGGCAGGAGGATTGCTTGTGTCCAGGTATTCTGGGCTGTAATGCGCTATGTCTATGGGTGTCTGCATTAAGTTCAGCATCAATATGGTGACCTTCTGGGAGCAGGGGACCACAGGTTGCCTAAGAAGGGGTGAACTGGCCCAGGTCAGAAACAGACCAGGTCAAAATTCTGGTGCTGATCAGTAGTGGTATCTTACCTGTGAATAGCCACTGCACTCCAGCCTGGACAACATAGTGAGACCCATCTCTACTAAAAGAAAAGTTTTCATTTAATAAATAAAGAAATAAAAGACATAATTTCAGCATTATTTGTGATAGTGAAAATGAGAAATAACTTAAATGTCCATCAGAGTGAGATTGAATAAACAAATTATGGTATGTCCATATAACAGAATACTATGCAAGTGTTTTTAATGACATAGATCTAAATGTATAGACTTGGAAAAATATTCATTAAGTCAAAAAAGGAAGTTGTTTTTTTAAAGTATAGTTTAGTATAATACAGCCAACATTTCAAGTGTCCTAAGTACCTTACATGCATTATCTTAAGTAGATACTATTATCTTCCTCACTTTATAAATGTGGAAACTGAGTTATGCAGTAACTTGGTCAGTGAATGTAGACATCCAGCTTTGAGCCCTTGTGCTTAGTCACTTCACTCTATCAAGGAGGTAATTAATTCCCCTTTTAGCTTAGATAAGTTTGAGTTGGAATTTCCCACTTTCAATCAAGAGAACCCTAATAAATAATCCAGATACAGGTCAATAGAAAGTGGATAAATTATGGTCCAGTAACAGAATACTGTGTAGCTGTTTAAAAGACTCGGCATGGTGGCTTACCCCTGTAATCCCAGCACTTTGGGAGGACAATAAGGCGGGCAAATCACTTGAGGTCAGGAGTTTTAGATGAGCCTCGCCAACATGGTAAAACCCCATCTCTACTAAAAATAGAAAAATTAGCCGGGTGTAGTGGTGCATGCCTGTAATCCCAGCTACTTGCAAGGCTGAGGCAGGAGAATCACCTGAACCTGGGAGGCAGAGGTTTCAGTGAGCAGAGATCACGCTACTGCACTCCAACCTGGGCAACGGAGCAAGAATCAGTCTCAAAAAAAAATAATAATAAATTTTTTAAAAAGAAGAAGAAGCAATATATATCAACATGAAAACAAACCCAATATTTAAGAATAAAAGCAAGTTTACAGGACAGTTTGTGTGTATGTGTGTAATTTTGTATACACATGTATTTAGAGAGAAAAGGCATTTCAAAACAGTTTTAAATGTCTCTGGAGTCTAGAATGGGTAAGACTTTCACTCTATTTTTATATCCTTCTGTATCTATCTATCTATTTATTTATTTAATAGAGACGGGGTCTCCTATGTTGCCCAGGCTGGTCTTGAACTCCTGGTCTCAAGTGATCCTCTTGCCTCTGCCTCCCAAAGTGCTGGGATTAGCCACTGCACCTGGTCCGTATTTTTCTTTTTAATTTTCCAAAAAGCATATATGACGTCCATAAAAATTTTAAGCCAAAAATAATTACAGGACAATAATTGTGGTACATTTATGTTATGCAGCTTTCCACTTCAATGCCCCTATTTTGTATAAAAACAGAGGACTTAAAATTTGCAGGTCCAGGTTCTTAGACCAGGTTGAATTTTGTTTTTTTTTTTATTTTGTTTTGTTTTTTAGATGGAGTCTCACTCTGCCACCCCAGCTGGCAACCTCCATCTCCTGGGTTCGAATGATTCTCCTGCCTCAGCCTCCTGACTAGCTGGGACTACAGGTGCACACCACCAGGCCTGGTTAATTTTTGTATTTCTAGTAGAGATGGGGTTTCACCATATCAGCCAGACTGGTCTTGAATTCCTGACCTCCTGATCCGCCCACCTCAGGCTCCCAAAGTGCTGGGATTACAGGCATGAGCCACCGTAGGAGGCCCGGGCTCAGTTTTAAATGTGTTCTATCACCTTAAGCAAATGTGTTTGCCTTTGTGGGCCTGTTTTCTTCTCTCTAGGAGAGGTGCCTAAGCAACAGTAGCACCTATTTCAGTGGTTTCTATATGCCAAGCACTATGCTAAGCAGTTTCCTCACCATAGCTCCAGGAGCTAAGCATCAACCCCATTTTCAGATCTGAAAACGGAAACACAAGAATTGGAATCAAAATGAACTCATATTTAGCTCACCCCCAAAAGCCATGTTCTTCCCACTATACCACTCTCCAGCCACCTCTTGCATCATGTCTCACCACGTCCTGGTGCTGGAACATACTTAAACCCAGGCCCTATAACTCAAAATTCTCTACCTGAAAAATGCTATCATTCTGAATCCCTGGTCACTTATGTTATTATTATAAAATGCTTATGCTGTATCAAACTCTAAACCAGGATGTCTCACCTTAGCACTATTGCGGTTTGAACTGGTAAATTCCTTGCTGTTTGGGGCTGCCTATGTAATGCAGGTTGTTTAGAAACATCCCTGGGTAGCACTCCACACCTCAGCTGTTACACCAAAAATGCCTCCAGATGCACTGCCAAATGTCCCCTTGGGGAAAATCACCCTGGATTGAGAACCACTGACTTAAGAAAAGCCTGTGTGAACTCAGAATGGAAACTGTATTGAAAGGAAATTTTTAATCTAATAAATATTTGTACCTCCATTGATTGTTTACCAATTTGGGTTAATGTTAGATCCAAGTATCTTACAGTTACTTGCCATGTGCAGAACACTGTACCAATTACACATAAAATTATCCAAGAATTAGGAAAAGGAGTTAGATCTTACCCTCTCAACAACTCCACTTCTCACCCTACTGAAATTCATCCATGCCTGAGAGGAACAGAGCCATGCGAGGCTGCTGAGTGATGAAGGTGTTAAGAACACGCCAACCCAAAATACGCTGCCCTGGCAATACTGACTATTTTGTGTTAAAAACACTTGAAGAACAGCAGGTGCAAGAAGGTCATTCTGACTTTCCTTCTGTTTCTTAAAAGCAGGAGATAAAATTCCCATGTGAAAGATGTCCTCCCTATGCCAGAAGTAAAGTAACATTCTTATCATCAAGGACTGGGGAAAACTGGAAATTGAGGTCAAGGGAAATGTGTACAAACAGACTTTATCCTCCCAGCTACTTCTGCACCCAATTAACTCAGCCCAAGCCCCTCTGCCATGCCACACTTTCATAATTCACTAGTTTGTCTAATTCAGCATATAAGTGTTCAACTCTGTGTCTTTGAGCGTTTCTTTATGAAGACTCCCATAGGATGTCTTTTTAATACAAGTGAAACTTGTATTAAATAAGTCTGAATGCTTTTCTCCTGTTGATCTGTCTCATGCTCATTTAATTCTCTGACCCAGCTGAAAAACTCTTAAAGGATAGAGGTAAAATTCTGCCTCCCCTGAAATGAGAACAGCATTTTTGACAGACAACAGTAAGAACTGAATTCAATGCTGATTTTATTTCAGCTGAATAAACCAATGCACAAGTCATCTAGGCAGTAAGCTTAACTCTAGGAGCAAAAGCTAAGAAACGAAGATTCTTTTTTTTCTTTAAATTATCCATCACTACATATGGCTGTCTTCCATATCTCCGCTTAGAAAATGTGGGTTAACAAATCTCATGCAAAGAAACATAGGAAAAGAGAAAAAAAGGAAATGCAATTTATCTAGTGTGCCAGTCAAGGTGGTCTCTCCATCTTCTTTTCTGTAAACTGCTCCATTAGCAGGGTTCATTTCGGATGATTTTAATATCATGACCATCTTCCCTGCAAATTGAACAATCATAGAAACACAATTATTACCTCTCATACTGAAACTGCCTCACTACTGGTACTAAAAGCACCCATGTAATTATACATTAGATTCCTTCAGGGCTACACTTAATCTTTTTTTTTAAGCTAAATCTAGGAAACAGGGTGAAAGTCCCCACTCTGACATTTTTTCCCTAACCCTAAGGCACAGGACACTAACCCCAAAGAATCACTCAGAGGGCTGAGCACACCTGTAATCCCAGCACTTTGGGAGGCTGAGGTAGGCAAATCACTGGAGGTTAGGAGTTCAAGATCAGCCTGGCCAACATAGTGAATACCCATCTCTACTAAATATGCAAAAATTAGACCAGGTGTGGTTCATGCCTGTAATCCCAGCACTTTGGGAGGCCGAATCGAGTGGATCACCTGAGGTTAGGAGTTCAAGAGCAGCCTGACCAATATGGTGAAACCCTGTCTATACTAAAAATACAAAAATTAGCTGGGTATGGTGGCTCATGCCTGTAATCCCAGCTACTCGGCGGGCTGAGACAGGAAAATCTCTTGAACCCCAGAGGTGGAAGTTGCAGTGAGCTGAGATCGTGCCATTGCACTCCGGCCTGGGTAACCAGAGCAAAATTCCAAATCAAATATTATATATATACAAAAATTAGCCAGGCGTGATGGCACATGCCTGTAATCCCAGCTGCTTGGGAGGCTGAGGCAGGAGAATCACTTGAACCTGGGAGGATGAGATTGCAGTAAGCCAGGCGGCAAGTGAGACTCAGTCTCAAAAAAAAAAAAAAGAATCAGAGAAGACCGACTGAAGTCAGATAATGAATCCCTGCTCTACACAAAGCTGCATACCTGAAGGAGCAGTCACAGTGACCTGGTCAGGTGTGCTACACTCATTACTCAGCATTCCACTAAGTAGAGTCAGTAAGTCCTACTTCCCGACTAGTAGTACAGGGTGTGCAGATCACCCACACATGCCCTTTGAATTAAAAATAAAATTTAATACTCCACAGAGTTTAAATTCTCAATAGACTCTTAATTTTAGGAAATTTTGAATTCATGGGCAATAATATAATTTGATTACATCTCATTCTTTAACTTGACTTGAAAAATGCACTGAGGATTTTGCATCTTTTTAGCCATTACTCTGAAAACTGAGAACTACCATGTCACTTTTGATACTTATATTCAAGAAAATAGACACTACCTCCTAAGTAATCAAAATCCAACAAAAGAAATGAAGAGGCCAGGCACGGTGGCTTAAGTCTGTAATCCCAACACTTTCGGAGGCTGAAGCAGGTGGGTCACTTGAGGTCAGGAGTTTGAAACCAGCCTGGCCAACATGGTGAAACCCCATATCTACTAAAAATACAAAATTAGCCGGGCATGGTGGTGCCTGTAATCGCAGCTACTTGGGAGGCTGAGACACGAGAATTGCTTGAACCCAGAAGGTGGAGGTTGCAGTGAGCCAAGATTTCATCACTGCACTCCATCCTGGGTGACAGGGTGAGACTCTGTCTCAAGAAACAAAGAAACGAAAAAAAAAAAAATGAAGAAAAATTTTACAGTTGTAAAATCACATTACCTGATTTTCATGCACAGAGTACATTCATTGGGATAAGTGGACATGTCACTGCCACACACAGGGTCAAAGTCCCTGGGACATCCTGGCAATTTATACTGAGCACAGTTTGGCTGGAAAAAAGAGACAGCGAAATTCGAGAATGATTTGAGATACACTCATATAAAATAGCTCAGAGGAGAATATGTTCCAGATCTCCCTTGATTTCCTAGACTAATTCAATAAAAATATTTTTATTTTCCAGAAAAAAATTTTATAATGCAAAAATCAGATACAATGTTGGTGTGACGGTTCAATACATACTATGTAAGAAGAGGACCTCATCTGGGCATGGTGGCTCACACCTGTAATCCCAGCACTTTGAGAGGCTGAGGCAGGCGGATCACCTGAGCTCAGAAATTTGAGACCAGCCTGAGCAACATGGAGAAACCCTATCTCTACTAAAAAATACAAAATTAGCTGGGCATGGTGGTGCATGCCTGCAATCCCAGATACTCGGGGGGCTGAGGCAGGAGAATCACTTGAACCCAGGAGGTGGAGGCTGGGCAACGAAAGTAAAACTCTGTCTCAAAAAAAAAAAAAAAATGGATCTCAGAGGCTTCAATCTGGCTGATTTTTTTTTTTTTTTTTTTTTTTTTGAGACAGTCTTGCTCTGTCTCCCAGGCTGGAGTACAGTGGCGTCATCTCGGCTCACTGCAACCTCCACCTCCCAAGTTCAAGCAATTCTTCTGCCTCAGCTTCCCAAGTAGCTGGGACTGCAGGCACGTACCACCACACCCAGCTAATTTTTGTATTTTTAGTAGAGACGGGGTTTTACCATATTGGCCAGGTTGGTCTTGAACTCCTGACCTTGTGATCCGCCCGCCTTGGCCTTCCAAAGTGCTGGTATTACAGACATGAACCACCATACACGGCCAATCTGACTGATTTTTAAATGAAAGTCTGAGACATTTCACCGTATCTACTTTATTATCATCTAGGTTCATAATCCACACTTCACTAAAATCTCCATGTGGATGTTCTATTAAATTCCACCTTAATCCCTTAGCTTAATGCCAAGACAAAATCAGGAATCTCATCTTTCAGTCTGAATTTTTAAGACACTGACATTTAACCAAAAACATTAAAGATAGCAGGAGATTCACAATTGAAGCAAATTTGTGCCAAAGGAAAAATGTTCAAAACAGGCTCATCATCAATGGAGGCTCCAAATTTCATGCCACAAGATACTAACTACAGGAAGAGAGTTCAATCCAGGCAGACATTTCCCCAAAACTTCCTCTCCACTCTCTGGAAGAGGGCCACTGCACATTTATTATTCCTTAATGTCATTTTAATTCTTATAGAAGGGCAGAGTGTGGTGGCTCCTGCCTGTAATCCCAACACTTTGGGATGCCAAGGCAGGTGGATCACCTAAGGTCAGGAGTTCGAGACCAGCCTGGCCAACATGGTGAAACCTCGTCTCTACTAAAAATACAAAAACTTAGCCGGGCATGGTGGCGGACACTTGTAATCCCAGCTACTCGGGAGGCTGAGGCAGGAGAATTGCTTGAACCTGGGAGGTGGAGGTTGCAGTGAGCTGAGACTGAGATTGCGCCATTGTACTCCAGCCTTGGCAACAAGAGCAAAACTCTGTCTCAAAAAAAAAAAGTAAAAATAATTCTTGGCCAGGTGCAGTGGCTCATGCTTGTGATCCCAGCACTTTGGGAGGCCAAGGTGCACAGATCACAAGGTCAGGAGTTCAAGACCAGCCTGGCCAATATGGTGAAACCCCATCTCTACTAAAAATATAAAAATTGGGGAATGATCCAAAATGGCTGATTGCTAACATCTCGGGATTGCAGCTCCCAGTGAAAGCACAGAGAATGAAAGGACGCCACACTTTCAGACAAATTTTGGTTGCTCACGGAGCAGAAGATTCCCAGTGGAGGAGCTGCACGGGTCGCCAGTGCGACTCTTGTAGCCGGCAGAGGTTTCGCTGGCAGCTCAGCACGGCAGCTCTCGGTGCAGAGTAAATGGGACTGGTTCCCCTTCTGACCGAGGTTTGGAGGAGCCATACGGGTCGCCAGCGCGACTCCTGTGGCCAGTGCAGCGGTTGTGCCGGCACCTTGGCGCAGCAGCTCTTGGTGCAGAGTAAACGGGACTGGTTCCCCTTCTGACTGAGGTTTGGAGCTCCGGGAAGGCAGAGTCGCCTATTACGGACTCAAGAAAGACGCCAGACTGGAGATTCCCGGGCAGAAAAGCACCATCAGTCTTAACGCTGCTGTTTTGGCCAGCACAGTGGTTTGCTCCTATTTCGGCCCTGGGAATTAACAACTTGGACGTCCACTCAGAGACCTAATTTGAAAGTTGGTAATTACAAAGACGACAGGTGGATAAATTTACAAAATGATGGGAAGAAACCAGCGTAAAAAGGCTGAGAATACTCAAAATCAAAATGCCTCTCGCTCTAAAGAGGATCACAGTTCCTCATCAACAAGGGAACAAGGCTTGATGGAGAACGAGTGCTTCCCATTAACAGAATCAGGCTTCAGAACATGGATAATAAGAAACTTCTGTGAGTTAAAAGAACATGTTGTAGCCCAATGTAAAGAAACTAAGAACTTTGAAAAAAGGTTTGATGAAATCCTAATGAGAATAGACAACTTAGGAATATAAGTGAATTAATGGAACTGAAGAATACAATACAGGAACTCTGAGAAGTATGCACAAGCTTAAACACTCGAATTGTTCAAGGAGAAGAAAGGATATCAGAGGTTGAAGCCCAACTTAATGAAATAAAACAAGAAGACAAGATTAGAGAAAAAAGGATAAAAAGGAATGAGCAAAGTCTCCAAGAAATGTGGGACTATGTGAAAAGACCAAATTTACGTTTGATAGGTGTACCTAAATGCAACGGAGAGAATGAATCCAAGCTGGAAAATATTCTCCAGGATATTATTCATGAAAATTTTCCTAACCTAGCAAAGCAGGACAATATTCAACCCCAGGTAATAAAGAGAACACCACAAAGATATTCCTCAAGAAGAGCAACCCCAAGGCACATAATTGTTAGATTCACCAGGGTTGAAATGAAGGAGAAAATACTAAGGGCAGCCAGAGAGAAAGGTCAGGTTACCCACAAAGGGAAGCCTATCAGACTTACAGCAGATCTCTCAGCAGAAACTATACAAGCCAGAAGAGAGTGGGGGCCAATATTCAACATCTTAAAGAACAGAACTTTCAGCCCAGAATTTCATATCCAGCCTAACTAAGCTTCACAACTGAAGGAAAAATAAAATCTTTTATGAACAAGCAAGTACTCAGAGATTTTATTACCACCAGGCCTGCTTTACAAGAGCTTCTGAAAGAAGCATTACACATAGAAAGAAACAACCAGTATTAGCCTTTCTAAAAATATACCAAAAAGTAAAGAGCATCAACATAAAGAAGAATTTACATCAACGAATGGATAAAACAGCCAGTTAACATCAAATGGCAGTAATCCTAAATTTAAATCGACTAAATCCCCCAATCAAAAGATACAGCCAAAACCCAATGGTATGCTACATCCAGACCCATTTCACATGCAAGGATACACAAAGACTCAAAACAAAGGGATGGAGGAAGATTTACCAATCAAATGGAGAGCAAAAGTAAATAAATAAACAAAAAGCAGGAGTTGCAATTCTCGGATCTGATAAAATAGATTTTAAAGCAACACAGATATAGTGGTAAAAGGATCAATGCAACAACAAGAGCTAATGATCCTAACACCCAGATACATAGAGACTTAGACTCAATGAGACAGAAAATTAATAAGGATATCAAGGACTCAAACTCAGATCCCGAACAAGTAAACTTAATATTTATAGAGCTCTCCACTTTAAATACACAAAATATACATTCTTGTCAATACCACATCACACCTACTCATAGGTTTAAATGAAACATTGATTGGTCATTATTAATACCCATTTTTTTTAGAATAAAGCAACATTTCCGTTCTCTCTCCCTCTTTTTCTTCCTCTTTCTTCCTCTCCTTCACTCCTTTTTTTTCTTTCCTTCTCTCAAAAAAAGAAAAAAAAGAAATCGACTTGTAGACCTCTAGATCCAGGTCGGCAATGTCTCTCTCATTGCTTGATTTCCTTCCTTCCCTTCTCTCCTTCTCTCCCTCCCTCCCTCCCTCCCTCCCTCCCTCCCTCCCTCCCTCCTTTCCTCCCTTCCTGCCTTCCTCCCTTCCTAAAAAATAAAAAATAAAAATATAAAAATATAAAAATTAGCCAGGCGTGGTGGCGGGTGCCTGTAGTCCCAGCTACTTGGGAGGCTGAGGCAGAACTGCTTGAACCCAGGAGACAGAGGTTGCAGTGAGCCAAGATCATTCCATTGCACTCCAGCCTGGGCTACAGAGTAAGAATCCATCTCAAAAAATAAATAAATAAATAAATATTATGTGATTATATACACAATAATTAGCCAGGCATGGTGGCGGGAGCCTGTAATCCATCCACTTGGGAAGCTGAGTCAGAAGACTTGCTTGAACCTGTGAGGTGGAGGTTGCAGTGAGTCGAGATAGCTCCACTACACTCCAGCCTGGGCAACAGAGTGAGACTCTGCCTTAAAAAAATAATAATAATAAACACCTAAATATAAATATTTTCAAACTTTAAGACATATATACTGAAAACTGTAAAGCATTGTTGAAAGAAATTAAAGGCCTAAATACATAGAAAGACACCCCATGTTCATGTATCAGAAGACTTTAAAGATGGCAATATTAGCCAAATTGTTATACAAATTCAATGCAATCCCTATCAGAATCTTAGATGTCTTTTTTTTTTTTTGCATCCAGAAACTGACAAATTGATCTTAAAATTCAGATGGAAAGGTAAGGGACTCCAAATAGCCAAACATTATTGAAAAAGAAGCCAGGTGTGGTGGCTTACACCTGTAATCCCAGCACTTTGGGAGGCCAAGGTAGGTGTATCACCTGAGGTCAGGAATTCCAGACCAGCCTGACCAACATGGAGAAACCCTGTCTCTACTAAAAATACAAAATTACCCTGGCGTGGTGGCACATGCCTGTAATTCCAGCTACTTGGGAGGCTGAGGATGGAGAATCACTTGAATCCGGGAGGCAGAGGTTGCGGTGAGCCAAGATTGCACCATTGCACTCCAGCCTGGGCAACAAGAATGAAACTCTGTCTCAAAAAACAAGAAAAAACAAAAAGAAAAGAAAGAATAAGAAGAGAAGGTTGGAGGATTCACACTTCCTCATTTTGAAACTTACTATAAAACTACAGTAATCAGGCTGGGCGCAGTGGCTTACGCCTGTAATCCCAACATTTTGGGAGGCCAAGGCAGGCAGATTTTCTGAGGTCAGGAGGTCGAGACAAGCCTAGCTAACACAGTGAAACCCCATCTCTACTAAGAATACAAAAATTAGCCAAGCATGGTGGTGCATGCCTATAATCCCAGCTATTTGGGAGGCTGAGGCAGGAGAATCACTTGAAACAGGGAGGCAGAGATTGCAGTGAGCTGAGATCGAGTGCCACTGCACTCCAGCCTGGGCAACTAGAGCAAAACTCTGTCTCAAAAAAAAAAAAAAAAAAATACAATAATCAAACAGTGTGGCAGTAAGGATAGAGGAGGATAAACTATGAGAAAGCACCAGAAGGTACAGGTAGAAAAGCAGGCTGTGTTAATGAGGCTAGACTTTCTCTGCAGGCAATGAGAAGTCCTTGAAGATTTTACACAGAGACATGCTACACTCAGTCAAGGTTTTAGAGACTAATTGTAGCAGCAGTGTGTAGCAGGAACTGGAACTGGAGTGAAGATACCAAAAGGCTGGGGAAAACCCATTGAAAAGCCACTATGTTAATCTAGGTGAGAGATAATGGGGGCCCTAAATTAGAGCAGTGGCAACAGAAATGGGGGGGGCGGAGGGGAGTTGGAAGGAAGATAACCAAACATCTTTCTCTCTCTCTTTTTTTTTCTGAAGGCTGGTCAAGTGAAGCAGAAGAATGGAAAAGGAACAGAGAAATCTGTGGTTGTGATCAATTAGCTGTAAACACCACTGCACGAAAACCAGCCAAACCAAAGGTCTCTTGTGCAGGTCATCCTTTTAACAATCCTGTCAAATGAAAGCAGGTCCAGGCCAGGAGGTAGCTCACGCCTGCAATCCAGCACTTTGGGAGGCTGAGGCGGGTGGATCCTTTGAGGTCAGCATGGCCAACATGGTGAAACCCTGCCTCTACTAAAAATATAAAAAAATTAGCTGGGTGTAGTGGCACACGCTTATAGTCCCAGCTACTCTGGAGGCTGAAGCAGGAGAATCGCTCTAACCCAGGAGGCAGAGGTTGCAGTGAGCAGAGCTCCCGCCACTAAACTAGCCTGGGTGACAGAGTGAGATCCATCTCAAAAACAAAACAAAACAAAACAAAAAGACAGCAGGTCCTATAGCACTTGCCTTAGCTCCTGAGTATGAGTGCCTTCTTAAATTCTGCATGTAGGATCTCAGTCACCCTAATCCCAGCCTTGAAACAAAGGTATCATAATTCCCATTTTCTTTATTTCTTTCTGTTTTTTTTTTTTTTTGAGATGGAGTCTTGCTCTGTCACCCAGGCTGGAGTGCAATGGCATGGTCTCAGCTCACTGCAAACTCTGCCTCCTGGGTTCAAGCGATTCTCCTGCCTCAGCCTCCCAAGTAGCTGGGATTACAGGCACTCACCACTGCGCCCAGCTAATTTTTGTATTTTTAGTAGAGAGAGGGTTTCACCATCTTGGCCAGGCTGGTCTCAAACTCCTGACCTCGTGATCCACTCACCTCAGTCTCCCAAAGTGCTGAGATTACAGGTGTGAGCCACCACACCTGGCCATAATTCCCATTTTCTAAAAGAAAATCAAACCCAAGCAAATTGAATCACTGGCTAAAAGTGTTACTGGGCATCCATGAGATGCTGAAGACTGAGCACTGAATAGCAAATAAGACATTATCCCTGACAACAGGTACACACAGTTTCCTGGAAGAAATAGGCAAACAGGCAATTACAATCTATGATGGGATAGAGAAAAGCGCTGGATCTGGAGTCCGGCTGCTTGGATTTGAAGCATAGCTCCACCACTTCCATGTGACCTTGACCAAAGGGCTAATAATCAAATTATGTTCTCTACCTCACAGTACTGTGAAAGATGAAATTAGTCATTATACATGAAGCATTTAGAACACTGGTGTGGCATGTAGGTATCTAAGTATTTACTGTTAAAATGGTGATGATGATGCAGTATAGGTAAGCACAGAGAATGTGTGTGTATATATCTCTGCTTTGGAGGAAGGAAACAGGGTGGGAAGGCTTCCTGGAAGAGGACTACTGTGAGCTGAACGCTCAAAGTTAACCTACTGAAGTCAATACCCTCATATATCAAATAATGTCTATCTTACAACAGCATTGTGAAAATTGAGAGACCGAATATACAGACAATGACTAGACCTTATATAAAACAGAACTCTGACCCACAACCTGCAGCAACCTGCCCAGGAACCCAAACCATTATTCAGAATAACCAGCCCAGGAGGTCAGCAGGCTGTAAGTCAGACTTGGAGGAAATCAGATTGCTCTCTCTAGTGATAGTCCAGAAAGCCAAACAATAATCCCTTTAACCATCAGCCCAAAATGGCTAGGACTTTTTTTTGAGATGGAGTTTTACTCTGTCATCCAGGCTAGAGTGGAGTGGTGTAATCTTGGCTCACTGGAACCTCCACCTTCTGGGTTCAAGCAATTCTCCTGCGTCAGCCTCCCCAGCAGCTGGGATTACAGGCATGTGCCACCACGCCCAGCTAACTTTTTTTGTATTTTTAATAGACACAAGGTGTCACCATGTTGGCCAGGGAAGTTTCAAACTCCTAACCTTAGGTGATCCACCCGCCTCAGCCTCCCAAAGTGCTGGGATTACAGGCATGAGCACCGTGCCCGGCTGCAAAATGGTTAGGACTTGATTATTAACTGACAGCTTCCCTAATTTCTGTCCTGGATTCCAACTTAAAACAATCAGAGAAAACCAAATATGCACCCCTAAACAATACCACAGAATGTCCTGCTTCTAGTTCGCCCAACTGCAGCATCCCTGTGCCAACAGCCTCCAATCAGGCCATACCTGAAACCATTCCTATTTTTCACTATAGTTTTCCCACTTCTCTCTTTGACTCAAGTCCCTAACGAAATGCAAGGGACAGTGGCTGACTCCTTGCTTTACCAAGCCCTGAAAAAAATGGCCTTTGCTTGTTCTCAGTTGGTGTACAGAAAACCCAGGTGGGGCCCACGTTTCGGATCAGTTGCCCCACGAAGAGGTGGCGGCCAGGGTCATGGCCCTGCAGGTAGGAGACCATATTTTCCGTGTGTGCCAAGATGTCATCATCCCCGTTGAGCACGAAGCTGGTGTCGGCACACCTCACCTCCCGCCACTGTAAGAACAGCACCTGCTTGAGTGTGAGGTTGAAAAAGGTGTCATGGAAATCCCACTGTAGGATGTGGTTGGTCTCCATATACACCCTCAGAATTTAATTTGATAAAGTACATAAAACGTCTAGTACAAGGCATAACTCTTTTTCCAAGGACCTTTTGAATCTTTAAAGGAAATGTTAACCCAAACAAAGATTGAGCAGTTTTCAACTAAAATGTACACTTTTCTCCGAATCAAAAGGCCTGCCTGAGAAGCTAGATTTAAATGCAGTCCTCAATTGTTTTCAAAAGCGGTAGGTCAGACCTGTAAACCAGCCTCCCGCCCAAACGGTTTTGGGCTTCACTGTATTATTAGAAACAGTGCAAGTGGTTTCCTACTTACCGTTCTATATTCTGAAGCCTGACCAAATCGAGGGGCCTGAGTGCCTGCAAGAAGGAAGCATAGACATTTTGCAGTATGGGATCAAGGGAAGGTATTGTTCATAAGATTTCTTTTTTTTCAGTAAGTTCTTGCTATGTTTCCCAGGCTGGTCTTGAACTCCTGGGCTCAAGCGAGCCTTCTCCCAAGGCCTCTCAAACTGCTGGAATTTGAGGCGCGAGCCACTACGACCAGCCTCATTAGGATGTTTTAAAGTCCAGTTTGGGATTTATCCAGGTCACATCTTCTATTTTCCCCTCCAAGGCCTACTTTCTTTGAACTGTTCCCTTCCTACTAGGGCCAGAAAGGATATTCCGTTTTTTATGGCACTTCTCTCCACAAGCACATAGAAATAACATTTGGTTCTTCTGTTCTCTTTAGGTTTGGTTGAGAAAGGACTTTGAAGCTATGGAATAAAAGTCGTGCTAGCGCGCACTGCAACCTCAATTCCTGGTTTCAAGTGAACCTCCCACCTCAGCCTCCGGGGTAACGGAGACTACCGGCCTAAGCCACCGCACCCGGCCCAGGAAGTAACCCTTAATAGTTCATGACGTTCTTTTCCTTTGCAACCGGGGTAACAAATACAAAATTTAATACAAGATAGAAGCATTTAAACTACCATTTTAAGAGAGGTGTCCAGTGTGGTTAGACAAAAGCCCCTTTCTTGTCAGCATCCACAATTCCTCACTCCTGCTCATCTCCCGCTGGGGTCCCATGGGGGCCATACCTTAAAACCCAACTCCTCATCTTGGATACCAGAAAATCTACTTTAACAGAGAAAGCCCCCTAGACAGCAGGTGTCCCTTGGAGCTGGGAGCGAAGCCCAAGCAAGAACTAAAGAGGGTGGCTGACTCCACAAAGCCACCCCCACACCCCAGGGTTCGTGCCCCTCCACCTAGCAAGTACGCTGGGGAACCGCCAGTAACGGACGCGGGGGTACCGTCGCCGAGGCCGCCCGGAGCCGGGCAGGGGCCGCCGCCGGCGTGACTCCCTCTCCCGCGCTCCTCCGGAGGTCCTGGCTCGTCAGGATTGCTCCGAGCGCTACCTGCGAAAGTCACGGCCAGAAGCAGCAGAATCAAACGCAGCATCGCCTGCGCCATCCTCCGCCGCCGGCCGTCGGACCCCTGCGCTCTGGTGCCTGCGCCACTCGCAGGGGGCGCTCCCGCGACGGGGCGCGAGGAGGGCGGGGAAGGGAGGAAGGCGGGGCGGGGCGAGAGTGGGAGGCAGGGCAGCGGTAGGTGGCTAGGGCAGGAGGGGCGGCGGGAAGAGGAGCCCCTCTTCCCTAGGGTCGGGGAAGAACCGGGAAGAGCCGGAAAGGGGAAAGGTAGGAGGATGGCGGAGGGGGTCGTGGGAAAGGAGGGAGTCGGAGAGGTAGAGGAGGGGACGATTGTTCCCCCACTTCCTCTCCTCCCAGCCGAGATAGACCTCTCCCTCCAGCATTCAAGAACCTGTGAAAGTCCTAGGGAGCCCTAGTGGAGCTCTTGGGAGTTCTGTCAATCAACTCCTATTTCTTAAGCATCTACTAGGTCCCAGGAAGTGTTTTGTTGATGATGACACAGCCCTGACCTCGACAAAGGAGGTGCCTGCTCTCAGGAAGCGTTCAGTCTTTCCCTTTTTAAACATATTTTCAAATTATTTTAGTTGACACAGTGATTGTACATATTTATGGGGTACATAGGTATATTTGGATGCATACAATGTGTAGTGATCAAAACAGGATAATTAGCATATTCATCACCTCAAATATTTATTACTTTGTGTTGAGAACATTCAAAATCCTCTCATCTAGCTACTTGAAAATACATAATAAGTTATTATTATAAATTTCAGGCAGGGTCTCTCTCTGTTGCCGAGGCTGGAGTTCAGTGGCACGGTCTCAGCTCACTGCAACCTCCACCTCCCGGGCTCCAGCGATCCTCCCACATCAGCCTCCCTCCCAAGTAGCCGGGACCACAGATATATGCCACCATGCCAAGCTTATTTTTGCATGTTTTGTAGAGATGAGTTCTCACCATGTTGCCCAGGCTAGTCTCAAACTCCTGGGCTCAAGCAATCCACCCACCTCGGACTCCCAAAGTGCTGGGATTACAGGCTTGAACCACCATGCTTTACCTTCATAATAAATTATTGTTAACTGTAGGCACCCTACAACTCTATAAAACACTTGCACTTATCCCTTCTACCTAGCTGTAACTTTGTATACTTTAACCAACCTCTCCCTATCCCCCATCCTTCCCAGCCTCTAGTAACTGCTATTCTACTCACTATTTCTGTAAGAAATAATTTTTGCCAAAGAGGCTGAGCAAGTTAGTGCATTAAGGCCAGGTGTGGTGGCTCACGCCTCTAATCCCAGCATTTTGGGAGGCTGAGCCCGGCAGATCACTTGAGCTCAGGAGTTTGAGAGGAACCTAGGCAACATGGCAAAACCCCGTTTCTACAAAAAGTACAAAACTTAGCCAGGTGTGGCCAGTGACCGAGATTGAGCTACTGCACTCCAGCTTTGGTGGCAAAATGAGACCATGCCAAAAAAACTTGACCAGATGGCCGGGTGTGGTGGCTCACGCCTGTAATCCTCGCACTTTAGGAGGCCAAGGTGGGTGGATCACCTAAGGTCAGGAGTTCAAACCAGCCTGGCCATCATGGTGAAACCCCATCTTTAAAAAAACACTTGACCAGGCATGGTGGTTCAAGCCTGTAATCCCAGTGCTTTGCAAGGCTGAGACAGGTATATCACTTGAGGCCAGCATTTCAAGACCAGCCTGACTCCATCTCTACTAAAAATACAAAAATTAGCTGGGTATGGTGGTACACACCTATAGTCCCAGTGACTCAGGAGGCTGAGGCATAAGAATTGCTTAAAACCAAGAGGCAGAGGTTGCAGTGAGCCAAGATGGTGCCACTGCACTCCAGCCTGGGTGACAGAGTGAGACTCTGTCAAAAAAAAAAAAAAAAAACAGTTAGTGCATTAGCAGATCCACTTTTTTTTTCTGCTTCTTATGCCTATTTGTCAAATGATTCTGTGACATTCCAGACTAGACCCTTACTAGACATAGTAGACTTAGTAAGGGTCTAGTCTGGAAAACACAAGGCTTAATGGCATTTCACCAGAGATAATTTAATATAAGGGATTGGCTAATCTAGTAGGGAGAACTGAAAAGAGCAGAAAGGGAAAATGAGGTAACACAGAGATAAAACCTTTAGGAAGTAGACATCATGTCTCACTCTAGGGGAACAAAGGGAATAAGTTGGAATTCTCAGAACCAGAAATTTGGAAGAGAGGTCCTGGAAAGCTGGGACTCAGACCCCTGGGAAGGGGGTGCTGCTTGGCTGTGCTGGTGGCACTGAGAGTATGTGAAAAAGCCAAAGACTGGGGCTAGGCACGGTGGCCCATGCCTATACTCCCAGCACTTTGGGAGGCGAAGGCGGGTGAATCACTTGAGGTCATGAGTTTGATACCAGCCAGGTCAACATGGTGAAACCTTGTTTCTACTAAAAATACAGAAATGAGCTTGCATGTTCCCATACTCCTGTAATTCCAGCTACTCAGGAGCCTGAGGCAGAAGAAATTATTGAACCTGGGAGGTAGAGATTGCAGTGAGCCAAGATCACACCATTGCACTCCAGCCTGGGCAACAGAGTGAGATTCCATCTCAAAAAAAAAAAGAAAAAATTGCTGGAGACTGGACCCAGCTGATTCTGTCAGGGTAATGAAAGGCTATTGCTGTGGCACTACTGAAAAAAACAGCCAGCAGGCAGGAGCCAGTCCCTTCTCCCTCCTCCTGCCTTCTGGTGTCCCCCTCACACACACTATGGGCAGAACCTGGAAGCCAACTGGCATCACAAAGCAGAGCATGGAAGTGGGGGTTCAGAGCTGATGTAGAATCACCTTGTGACTGGCGTGGTCCCTACCTCTTGACCTTAACAACCTCAAGGGCTGGAACAAGAAGACACTGTGCAGTTTTCAACTCCACAAGGTGCCATACACGGCTGAGTTCTGGCTGGTATCCTGTTTGAGGCCGAGTGGTAAATATGAAATGAGTGTTAGTACTTTTCTAAGTCACATCACATTCTGTTCTTTGAACAACAGTCACAAAATGGACATGGCTCGCTTTGCTGAAGATTCTTATAAAGGACTGATAAAATAGAATTTACATATAAAGCCCTTCTCAACTGTGTTGGATGTCTGTTACCAAATGACATGTGCACTTGCTTACAAACATCTTTGATGCTCTGGGAACACAAATGTGACCCCAGACTCAGGGCAATGTTCAGAGATGTGCGAGTAGGAATTTCAGCTTCAAAAGAAAAGCCAATAACCCCTCAAGACAGATTTCTTAGAAATGTGTGTGTGGATACGGCTGCCTTTAGGTTATTTTGTTTCAAAGAGTTGTTACTGGCTGGCAGGGTGGCTCACGCCTATAATCCCAGCACTTTGGGAGGTAGAGGTGGGCAGATTACTTGAGCCCAGGAATTGGACCTGGGCAACACGACAAAACCGTGTCTCTACAAAAATTACAAAAATTAGCCTGGTGTGGTGGTGCGCCCCTGTAGTCCCAGCTACTCAGGAGGCTGTGGTGGGAGGACCACTTCAGCATGGGAGGTGGAGGCTGCAGTGAGCCATGATTGCACCACTGCACTTCAGCCTGGGTGATGGCAGTGAGAACTTGTGTTAAAAAGAAAAGTTGGCCGGGTGAGGTGGCTCACGCCTCTAATCCCAACACCTTGGGAGGCCAAGGCGGATGGATCATGAGGTCAGGAGTTCAAGAGCAGCCTGATGAAACCCTGTCTCCAAAGGAAAAAGAAAAAGTTAATAATTATACCTTAGAAATGTTTTCTATCAAGGTGCTTTTCATGTTGTCTCAGCATTTGTGAGCCAAGAACAAGGGTCAAGAAACATTTTCTGTAAAGGGCCAGATAGTAAATACTGCTGACTTCTTGTCGCAATTAAACTCTGTCATTGCAGTGCAAAAGGAGACATAGAGTGTAATGCAATGAATGGGCATGATTCTTTTTTTTTTTTTTTTTTGAGAGAAGGTCTTGCTCTGTCACCCAGGCTGGAGTAGCATGGCGCGATCTCAGCTAACTGCAGCCTTGATCTTCTGGGCTTAAGAGATCCTCCCACCTCAGCCCTGCAAGTAACTGGAATTACAGACATGCACCACCACACCCAACTAAATTTTTTGAATTTTTTTGTAGAGACAGGTGATATGGTTTGACTGTGTCTCCATTCAATCTCAACTTGAATTGTATATCCCAGAATTCCCACGTGTTACGGGAGGGGTGTGTGGAGGGTAATGAATCATGGGGGAGCAGGCTTTCCCATGCTATTCTCACGATAGTAAATAAGTCCACAAGGTCTGGTGGGTTTATCAGGGGTTTCTGCTTTTGCTTCCTCCTCATTTTTCCTCTTGCTGCCTCCCTGTAAGAGAGGCTTTCACCTCCCACCATGATTACAAGGCCTCCCCAGCCGTGTGGAACTATAAGTCCAATTAAACCTTTTTTTCTTCCCCGTCTCAGGTATGTCTTTATCAGCAGTGTGAAAATGGAGTAATATGGTAAATTGGTACCAGTAGAGTGGGGCATTGCTGAAAAAATACCAAAATTTGGGGACTCAGCTTGAAACAAGATGGCGGGCTTGTGGTGAGAAGCTGTGAAGCAGGAGTAGAAATTAGTATGCCTAGAAGCAGATTTTAAAAGCAGTTTCTCTTTAGATCATCTTTTTTCATGCCGCTTGATAGCTATCTTGAAACACCATGGCTGTAGCTGCAGTAAAATGGGTGATGTCAAAGAAAACTATCTTGAAACATTTATTTCCAATCCCAAACGGAGCTTTATATTGTATTTGTCATAAATCTACATACTCTCCTCTGCCAGATGGCTATAATTGCAAAGTAGAGCTTGCTCTGACTTCTGATGGCAGGACAATATGATTCCATATGACATTCCATATGAACACACAAAACCTGTCCCTCGGCCAGATCCTGTGCACAATAATGAAGAAACACACGATCAAATCCTGAAAACCAGATTGGAAGAAAAAGTTGAATGCCTTGAGCAAGGACCTATGGTAGAACAACTTAGCAAAATGTTCTTTACTACTAAGCACCACTGGTATCCCTATGGACGGCATCGCAGATGTAAGAATCCGAATCCTCCAAAAGACAGAGGATGCTGAGGTTCCTGGGTGAATCAAAGAGAAATGTGCCTCATTTCCCATTTGAGAAAATGCAGTCTGGTGTATTCACTAATATATAGTAAACTAATAATGATTTAAAAGATGTGGAAGGGACTTTGGAACTGGGTACCAGGCAGAGGCTGGAACAGTTTAGAGGGCTCAGAGGAGAACAGAAAAATGTGGGAAAGTTTGGAACTTCCTGGAGACTTGTT